TGTGTGTGTGTGTGTGTGTGTGTGTGTGTGTGTGTGTGTGTGTGTAAACTGAGCTTTCTCTCAGGCTGGTGGTAAGCACTGTTAAAATCCACTAATAACTGCCTGGTGTGGTATCAAACACTTTCAACCCCAGCACTCAGGAGGCAGAGGCAGGTGGACCTCAGTGAATTTGAGGTCACCCCGGTCCACTCAGGGAGTCCAGAGCGGCCAGAATTACCCGGGGAGACCCTGTTAATAACCACCATCAGTGCGTTCTCTCGTTCACACTGCACGCGCATCCTGTCCATTTCCTCATGACTAAGCAAAGGTTTTTCGGTGTGGAGCTTCAGAGCCCTACCTGACCACTGCCGGACTCTGTCTGCTGCTCAGGCGGCTTTGACTCTCCGTCAAAAAGCCAGCAAGACTGCCTCGGTGCCAGCACCGGCCAGTTTGAGTGCCCAACAGACACCTTGGGAAAACTAGAGGGTCGTCTCAGCTGGTACCCTGGCCTCTGAAGGCACGGACCCCTCTGCCTGGCTGGCTCAGCGTCTCTAGCAGGGGAGAGGGGAAGCACTCCCCTCCCCTCAATGCCCTAGTGGAGGGCTTGCTGAGAGGCAGGCTGTGGTAGGCTCCAGTGTCCCTCCGGCCCATGGCAGCAGCTGCCCAGGCGCATCCGCTTGGCTGGGAGACAAGCTCTGTCCCCTGGGACTGCCATCTGGGGCCTCATCGAAGTCTTCCGTTGAGCGGTCTTTTCCTAGCCTACTTTCAGTGGTGTGGGCTGGACAGACAGCGATGGACAAGGAGGCAGCAGGCAGTGGAGCAAAGGCTGAGGCCGGGGAGTGACAGCGAGTGGCTGACTGGGGACAGGGCAGGCAGGGGAAGCATCGCAGCAAGAGGGGGCAGAGAGCAGAGTCTGAGGAAGGAGGCGGGTACAGAAGACAGCATGGCAACTTCAGGCCGTTTGCCAGCAGAGGTCCAGGGAGCTGTGGGCACCAACGCCCACCCGTGGTGCTCTGGGTCCACACTCGTGGGAGGCCTGTTCATGAGAGGGCTCCACCTGCTGCTGCTCCCACCTTCCAGCTGCTTCTGCTCACCGCTGTGACACATGGGGGTAAAGGAAGCACCCCAAGCCAGCACCTGGAGAGCGTCCCCTCCCCCACTCCCATTTTCTATCTCCATGAGCAAGGGATCCCAGACAGCTAACTGGACACACCTGCCTCGGCCTCCCGCAAGGGGGGATTTGGACTCTGCCAGTCACCTGAGCACTCTGTGTGCCCCTGAAACGAGAACTCATCGTTTACCTGGCCTGTTCGTCACCCAGAGCACCTCTGTACCAGGTAGGACACCTTTCCTTGCAAGGATGACCTCCGTGAGAACCAGGGCCTCCGTTTAAACGCTCTGCCTCACAGATGCGCTTGTCCTTCGAGATGTGACGCTTCATTCCTCAGACTGCATCCAAACCCACCCTATCAGAGGGACAGCCTGCTACGGTCTCAACATGGCCAGGCACACCCAAACCCACCTGGAGCTGAGGGCCGGTGTGTGGTGGTGGTCGGAAATCTTGTGGGGCCTCTGCTCTCCCACTGTCTTCCACCGCCACCCCATCTCCCACCCACCCCCACACCCCTTCTGCTCTGTACCGTGAGTTCAGACAGTGCCAGGCAGTGACTAGATGTGGCTGCTCTACCTTGGACCAAATTAACTTCTTTCCCACATACACGACCTAGTCCTGGGTGTTTTGTCATAGCTACGGAACACAGATTACACCGCTGTAGCACACGTGGATCTCTGGTGTCTAAGAACACACCCAGCCTCCACACAGCACTGGGCTCTAAACCCTGACCCCTTCCCTGGCGCCTCCTGCACTGGTGTCCTTAGATGTCTAAGGGCGCAGGGGAACAAGGCATGTGACAGTCTCTTTATCCCAGGGACACCATATTGGAGGTCTCCACAAATGCTGGTTAGATGGCTATCTCACTTCCCTCAAGTCTGTAACACGACCATCCTTAAAACATGAGACAAAGAGTACCTTTCCACGTAGCCCAGGCTGGCCAAAACTCTCAACCTCCCTGCCCCTACCTCCCAATTCATGTTATATAAGTGCTTATGTAATTTGGCTGGTATTAATTTTTAAAAGTAAAGATTCTAAGTGTTTTGGCAAGTCAGAACTAAGTAGTTGTTGTTAAAGGCACTTGACTGTCACTGTCTTTCCATCAGCGGTGACAGATGAAGTTTACTGAAGGCTTAGAGAGGCATAAGCCTTCTGACTTACTGGTCAGCCAAACCGGATCTGCATCCGGTATCTGTTTTGGCAAAGAGGCGCCAAGCACTAAGACCCACTTGTGAGCTGTCACTACGTCCTCTGGTCCTTGTTTTTATGACCTTGCAGGTCCCGCGGGCTGCTGAGCCCTGTGCCATATGCTGTGGCCCTTCTCCTTCTTTGCAGTATAGGAACGGAGACAAGGACATCCAGCCACTCTCAAGCGTCTCTGCTGGGTGACACCCGCGACACTGTGCTAGTCTGCAGAGCTGCATTAGGCTTTTGTAGATCAAGAGGTTAAGTGCCTTGCCCCCGCATGTCGGAGGACACATGATGTCTACACATTTCTCCATGACTGGAACTGCTCATTGAACCATTATATTCTGTTACCAGATGTCTCTGCTGTCTTCCCATCTCCTCACATTTTCCTATTTGTGTGCTTGTGTGTGTGTGTGTGTGTGTGTGTGTGTGCGTGTGTGTGTGTGTCGACCCGTGCATATGTTCATTTGTGTTGTGGTTACACGGTGTGCTGGCTAGTTTTATGTCAACTTGACACAAGCTAAAGTCATCAGAGAGGAAGTAACTTCAGCTAAGAACATACCTCCTCCGGGTAGTGATGGGCCACGCCTTTAATCCCAGCATTTTGGAAGCAGAGGCAGGCAGATCTTTTTGAGTTTGAGGCCAACATGGCCTACAGAGAGATTCACTACAGCCAGGCCTCACAGAGAAACCCTGTCTCCAAAAGCCAAAAACCAAAACAAACCAAATCAAACCATAAAAAAAAAAAACAAAGGCCGGGCGTTGGTGGCGCACGCCTTTAATCCCAGCACTCGGGAGGCAGAGCCAGGCGGATCTCTGTGAGTTCAAGGTCAGCCTGGGCTACCAAGTGAG